CTTACCAACACATCAATTAGTCTCCTGTATATATCAGAGGATTTCAGCTTTAAAAAATTACAAGCTGCAGATATTATTTAAGAAAGAGTCCCTAGCAAGACCAAAAATAAGGAGGAAGACAAAACTGAATCAGGGGAAATTTTACCCTCTGATATCACAGCTGCAAGTGAACAGAAAATGCAGCCTAAATATTAGTCAGATAAGCATAAAACCTGCACTACAGGCTTATCTTAGTTTCCGTTACCCAATACATCGTTTCCAGCTTTCAGTAAAAAATGACAAGACACACTAAAGGGCAGAAACAATCTGAAGTGAAAAAGTAAGCATCAATCAGATCCAGACTCAGATAATAGCAGATATTTTAGAATTATCAGACTAGGAACTTATAATAATTATGACAAATATGCTAAGTTCTGATAGAAAAGTGGACATAATGCAAGAAAAGATGGGTAATATAAGGCAAAATGGAAAATCTAAGAAGAAATCAAACTAACATTAAAAGTCTAAAATATTTTAATGGAGATGAAGCATGACATTGATAGACTCATTAATAGGCTGAACTCAGAGGAAAAAAAATAATTAGCTTAAAGATATGTAAATAGAAACTTTCCAAACTAACAGTAAAGAGAAAAAAGTATTAAAAAAAGGAATACATTATTTAAAAACTGAGCAAAAATTACAAAAGTATAAATATACATAATTGGAGAAAAAAGAAGGAAGAAGGAAAGGAAGAGGAAGAAGAGGAAGAGGAAGAAGAAGAAAGAAGAAGGAAGAAGAAAGAAAGGAAAGAAGGAAGATAAGGAGGAGAAACAGAATAAATACTGACATAAAAATAGATGAGAACCTTCTAAAGTTAATGATAGACAACAAACCACAGATCCAGAAAATTTGTAAGACACAAAGCAGGATAAACACCAGATAAATGTCTACATCTAGACATATGATATTTAAACTGCAAAAAAATCAGACTAAAATGAAATCTTGAAAGAAGCTGGGGAAAAGTGGTAGGATAACTTACATAAATAGGAACATAAATAACAACAATTACATAGGATTTCTTTACAGAAATCATGCAAGTAATAAGAGAATGGAGTAAGATATTTAAAGTGTTCAAAGAAAAAGAGCAGAAACCTAGGATTCCGTATCAAGTGCAAGTATCCTTCCAAAGTGAAAGAGAACTAAAGACTTCCTCAGACAAACAAAAATGGAAGGAATATTTGTTCCTAGTAAGCTTGCCCACACAGCGATAGTTAAGAAATTTTCAGAGAAAAGGAAAATGTTGTAAGTCAGAAACTTGGGCGCACATAAAGAAAGGAAGAGCATTAGAAATGGAAAAAAAAAACAAAACAAAAAAAAAAAAAGGTAAAATATTTTATCTGTCTTATTCTAACTGATCTAAGTAATTGTTCAAAATAATAATTGCAACAATGTATGTGTTTTTTTATGTTTTATGGAGAAGTGAATGACAATAATGTTATGAAGAATAAGAAAAGGGGAATGGGAATACTGTGAAGGTAACTGCATTACCCATAAAGTAGTATAGTGTTATTTGAAAGTGAACTTGAACAAATTATAAATGTATAGTTCAAATGTAAAGGAAACCACTGAAAAAGTTAAAAAATAAAATAAAACAAGTATAATTGATATGCTAAGACAGGAGAGAATATTGAATAATATAAATTGCTCAAAACTAGAGAATGCAGAAGAATGGAAAAACAAAAGACATAAATGAAAGAAAAAATAAGTCCACAACTAAAAGACAGTAACAGATAAGGCACATACTAACCCAACTATATCAATAATCACTTCAAATGTCAATGATCTTAAAGACAAACACTGTCAGAGTAAATAAAAATACAATACACAACTGTATGTTGTTTACAAGAAACTCATTTTAAGTATAAGGGCAGATAGAGTCAAAGGGATGGAGAAAGATATACCTTGCTAACAATAATCAAAAGAAAGCTGAAGAAGGATTATTAATTTCAGACAAATCAGACTTCAGAACAAGAAAATTATCAATGATAAAGAGGGGCATTACATAGTAATAATGAGGTAAAATTACATAGTAATCCTTAATGTGTTTGTGCCTAACAACACAACGTCAAAATATGTGAGGCAAAAACTGATAAAAGTGCACGAAGAAATAGACAAATCTGCTATTATAGCTGGAAATGTCAATTCCTTCTAACAGTAATTGACAGATCTAGCAGGCAGAAAATCTGTAAGAATATATTTGAACTGAACAGCACCATCAGTCAGTTGAATTTAATTGATGTTAATAGTTACTTTAATTACCAACAGCAGAATACGCATTTTTCTCAAGACACATGGAACATTCACGAAGACAGATCACATTCAATGTCACTAAAATATACCTTAACAAATTTAAAAGGATAGAAATCATACAAAGTGTGTTCTCAGACCACAGTGGAGTTAAACTAGAAACCAATAACAAGAAAGATAACTGGAAAATCCTCAAATATTTGGAAATTAAGAATATACTTATAACTAACACATGGGTCAATGAAGAGGTTTCAAAAGAAATTTAGACTATTCTGAACAAAATGAAAATGAAAATATGATTTATTAAAATTTATAGGATATAGTAAAAGTGATGCTTTGAGAAATTTTATAGCATTAATAGAGAAGAAGTAGATCTATACTCAATATTCTAAGATTTCTCCTTAGGAAACCGGAAGAAGAAGAGCAAATTAAACCCAAAGTAAGCAGTAGAAAAGACATAAAAACTAATGCAGAAATCTATGAAATTGAAAACAGAATACAATAGAGAAAATTAATGAAACCAAAATATAATTCTTTGAAAATATTAGTAAAATTGATAAACTTTTGCCAGACTAACCAAAAAAGACACAAATTACTAACATTATAAATAAAAGACAGACCATAAGTGCCAATCCCATGAACATTAAAAGAAAAATAAAAGAATATAATCAACAGCTCTATGCTCATCAACTTGAAAACTTAGGTAAAACTGACCAAATCTAAAAAGGATTCAATCTACTAAAATTCACATGAGACATAGATAATCTAGATAGGATTATGATATATTTAAAAAATTAATTAATAATTACCAGTCTTTCAAAATAGAAAATACTAGACCCAGATGGTTTCACTGATTAATTCTACCAAATATTTAAAGCAGACATTTTACTAATTCTTTACAATATCTTGCAGAAAATAGAAGCAGAGGTAATACTTCTTGACTCATTCTGTGAGGCTAGCATTATCCTAATACCAAAACCAGAAAAATATATTAAAAGAAAGGAAAATGATAGACAAATATCTCTCATGAACATAGATGTAAAAATTCTCAACAAAATGTTAGCAAATTGATCCAAATGTGTAAAAATAAGTATACACAATCTGAGACTTATCCCAAGAATGTAAGGCTGTTTCAACATCTAAAAATTATGTAATGAAAATATCATATCAAAAGGCTAAAGGAGAAAAATCATATGATCATATGAACAATGAATAATGAGAATTTGACAAAATCCAGCACCAATTTATGATAAAAGTTTTCAGTAGTAGGTGTAGAGAGGGATGTCTTCCACTTAATAAGGAACATCTCTAAAATACCTACACCTAACATTATAGTTACTGGCAAGAAACCAGATTTTTTTTTCAGTTAACATTAGGAAAAAGGCAAAAATGTACCTTCTCACTTCTGTTCAACATCATAATGGAAGACATAGCTAATACAGTAAGACAAGAAAAGGAAATAAATGTTATACCATTTGAGAAGAAAGAAATAAATTGTTCCGTGTCTTCCTTCACAGATGACCTGACTGTCTAAGTAGAAAATCCCAAAGAATCAATAATAGCAATAAAAAACAACCAAAAAAACTCTTGGAAGTAATAAACAATTATAGTAAGTTTACAGGATGTAAGTTTAATACACAAAATTCAATTGATTTCCTTTATGCCAACAATGAACAATTTGAATGCAAAGTGAAAAACAGCCTGCCATTTAAATTAGCAACAACAAATAAAATACTTAGGCATAAATCCAAGAAAATATGTATAAAATCTGGATCAGGAAAATTATAAAACTCAGGTAAAAAAGATGATCTAAATAAATAGGAGAAATTCTATGTTAATTTATAAGAAGACTGAATATTGTTTAAGATATCAGTTATTTCCAAACTGATCCTTTGGATCCAGCACAATCCCAATAAAAATTCTAGCAAGTTACTTTGTAGATTTCACCAAACTGATTCTAAATTTTATATTGAAAGGGAAAAGTTCCAGAATAGCCAACACAACATTGAGGGAGAAGAACAGAAGAGGACTGACACTACCTGATTTCTAGACTTACTGTAAATCTATAGTTTTCAAGACAGTATATTATTGGTGAAAAGCAGGATTCAATGAAACAGAATAGGGGACTCAGAAATACACCCACATAAATATATAGTCAATAAACCTTTGATATGGAAGCAAAGGCAATACAATAGAGAAAAGATAGTCTTTTCAACAAATGGTATTAGAACTTGATATCTACATGAAAATGATAATGATAATCTGGGCACTGACACCTTTCATTAACATTAACTCGCTATGGATCATAGACCTAAATTTAACATATACAACTGCAAAACTTCTAGGAGATAATATATAAGAGAACTAATGTGACCTTAAATTTGGCAATAAATTTTCAGATATATAGCCAAAAGATTTAAGTGATTAACCTTATGTAGTCATCGAACATATGGCAAAACAAGGACTGGAGTCCCGAACAACCTGGTTTCAATGATAATCCTCTTTTCATTAAACCATATCACCTACAGGAGATGACTGCAAAGGATATTTAAATAATAGATGAGACTTTGATTATAAGACTTTTAAGACTGAAATTAAAAATTTCTCAAAGAGAAAAGGAAAAACAAAATTTATAGTGAATATTACATGAATTAAAATGAGGATGTCATTTGCATTTAATGATCTGTTAATTTTAGTGAAACCTCTATACTTACTAGGAGTCCTGGTTCTGGAATAGGAGAAGGCCTTGCAAACCTTTTATTCAATCTCCTCTTCTCTTTCTTTAGGTTTTGCATATTCTGAATACGTTTATTTGCAAGCTTTAAAAAAATTAAAATGAAAGAAAAATCATACTTTTTTGTAACATATAAAGATAACATGCTGATTATATTTTTGGTTTGTGTCAATAAAAAAGGTAAACACCACCACTGCAAACGGTTTACGTAACTACATAGAAATAGGGAGGAAAATCCCTTTTGTTCAAATGTGTGGTTCATAGGTGAAGAAAACCACATTGGAGCATCAGTAGAGTTTTCAAATAGACTATTCTTGATTCTCATCTTACCACTGTGTACATTTAAATAGATCCAGACACATGGATTAGTGTGTTTACTTTTCCTTTAAAAATAATGTTATTAAAGACACCTAGCGAATTTTCTCTACAGAAGCAAGAAAACAATTATTCACTCCTTTGAAATGTTGCATGATGCACATAAATTTTTATGCCACCATTGTATGGTATCTACAAGTAGCAGAGACCTAGGAGATCAAACTAGAATTCTTTGAAGCTAATGAAATACAGTAATAGAATAAAAAGGATATGAATAACAATAACTTTTTATCCACTTCCAATGAAGTATAAATTGGTACAATTGCTTTGAAAACAAACTTTTTAAAAAATCCACTGCTAATGGAGTATAAAGTTGAACAATTGCTTTGAAAACAATGTGGCACTACTTTTTAACAATAGAAAATTTGCTTTCCCTATGATTTAACCATTGCACTCCTGCCTAAATAATCAAGGCATTCTTGTGCATGGGGAAAGAAGCCGTGTACTAGAATGTTTGCAGTAGTACTATTCATTTTAGGAAAATGTAAAAATAACACAATGTCCATAAACAAGAGAAAGGATTAATGAACTGTGATATGTTCCATGACAAAATATTGAACAGCAGTGAAAATAAAGAGACTATATACAGCAATATAGATAGATCTTAGGAAATAATATTGAGAAGAAAGAGTAAATCATACACTAAATTTTGTGTGATCTTATGTTTATAAAGTTCAAACCCAAGCAAAAGCAGATAATGCACTCATAGAGGCACCTATGTAACAAACTATTAAAGAAAAGGAAGAGATTGATGTAACTAAAATTCCAGATGGTGGTTACCTCTCGGAGAGATCTTAGGAGGTAGAATAGAAAAGCATTCCCTAGCTGGATTCAGAAATACTGAATATCTTAATCCTTAAATGGGAGACATATTATAGTTTATAAATTATATCTGCCACATATGTTTTTGTATATGTATCAAATGTTACATTAAAAAATAACATAAGTCATTTACTCTAGTTAAGACCCATTCCAATAGTAGTCATGAGATCCCAGAGTCCCAAGAAATATACCGAAGTGTCTACTTAATACAAGTTCTATTATGTTAGGGACAACTACATAAAGGAACAAGTTACATGCACAATGTTTAAACAACCAGAACCTAGTTCTTTATTTGAACATTACCTGCCGCTCAGTGACTTCTGAAGGATGATGTTGTCTTGGTCCTTCCTATATAATATGCAAAATTAAAACACATTGACACACAAAAAAGTCATTAAAAATAGTAAATTAGTTATTAGTAAGCCTATGCTACTTTTACATTTATGTATTATATGAATCATTTCGACTATAAGAGGCAGGTTAAAAAAAAACAAAAAGAAAAAAGAAAAAAAGGTTCAGAATTAAAACATCTAACATAAAAATTGTGGTGGAAGATGGAGACAGTATTATGATAAAAAGAACCAACTGTGAGCCACCTTACAGATAAAAGGCAGAGTATGAGAAATAAGAAAACAATTATTCAGGAGGGAAAGAATGTACAAGAAATAGAAAAATACATGTTTCTGCTTGTATAGGACTTCAGCGGTGCCATTGAACAATCTAGTCTTCAATCTGGTTTCAAAGCCTAGGAATAATTGGTGATGTATTGAGATCATGTGGTTTTCTGAAGCACAGGGAGCTTGGCTGTTAGATTCTCACCACTTCCTCTATTTCTTGATTGTACCTTAAATACTTCTTCCTTCACTCATTTTCATCTAATCTTTTAACCAGAAGACCCAAGAGAAATCTGTTCCACATCTGGCAATTGAGAACTTTATCCTGCTCCCTACTTCTGTAATTTCCACTCCACCTCCTAGGGCAGGTCAATGGGGCAGTCAACATACAGTTGATGTACCTGACCTCTAAGCACACAATAGGTGGAGCTTTGTCTTGTTTCAGGGGGGTCCAGCAGTCAGGATGTAGTCTGTCTACATCACCTGGAATTTCCCAACCCCAACCACCAAACCACATTTGTAAGAGCTAGAAGTACCATGGCCAAGGCCACAGTGGCCTGGAGCTCAAGGCACAGGACAGAGTAGCAGAGGTGAGGTTATAGACCCCAGCAGACTCACAGGGCTGACTTGGGAAGGCTCGATGTCCCAGCAGTACAGGCACATGCCGTGGAGCCTTAGGGCACCCCCTGACGCCTACTGCCTGTCCTGGACCAAGTGATTATGGGGTCCAACACTCACAGCCTTCAAACCCTGCCCCCACCCAGTTCCATCACAATTCTCTTTATTCTCCTCCCTGCTATGGGCCCCGCCCTTTGCCCAGTTGTATTCCAGTCCAGTGCAGGGAAGGCAAGGCCTCAAGTTGTCTGCAGTGTCTTTGACTTATGGAAGTCAGTTTACCATAATTCCCTATATTCTATCCATCTTCCTCAGAAAATTGAAGAATACCAATTTCCCACCTTTTCTACCCTTCATTTCTCTAGTCTCTCTCTTTATAAAGCCCCTTTTATTTGTTAACATACCTAACTTAGTCTCCATGTTCTGTTACTTCAGACTGTCTATCTATTGTTAGGGTTCTCAATTCCACTACCTCATTCTTGTTCCTTCACAGCTTCTAGTTGGGTTGACCCAACTGTCTGCCTTCTTCCCATCCATCTATACCAGGTGAAGCGAGGAGAAGCTTGAAGATGGTTGGAATACATACTTGTGACCCTTAATTTATTTATTTATTGTTTATTTATTCTTTTTTTTTTTTTTTTCCCGAGTCTCTCTCTGTCACCCAGGCTGGAGTGCAGTGCCAGGATCTTAGCTCACTGCTACCTCTGCCTCCAGGGTTCAAGCAATTCTCCCATTTCAGCCTCCCAAGTAGCTGGGACTACAGGCGCACGCCACAACGCCTGGCTAATTTTTTTTTTTTTTTTTTTTTTGTCTTTTTAGTAGAGACGGGGTTTTACCATATTGATCATGCTGTTCTCAAACTCCTGACCTCAGGTGATCTGCCCGTCTCAGCCTCCCAAAGTGCTGAAATTACAGGCGTGAGCTACCACGTCCGGCCGTGACCCCCAATTTAAACTGGGTCCTTGATGCTGCTTACACTTTTATGTTGCACCAGGTCTTTTTGTGCTCTGCGTCATTCCCTTCAAATAGTCTTCTATTAAAATCTCTGAATCTACCATCACTCAGGCACTTCCAGCGGAAGTGGGACAATCCGTGCTTCACACTCTGATGCTGGTGAACATATATAGAGCTTACTATGCACAGCACTGTTATATGAATTTATGTGTGTTAACTGATCAATTCTTTAGACCACTCAAGGAGGGTAAGTGCATGATTATAATCACTGGGAAACAAGGCACTAGCATGTTACATTGCTTTCTCAAGGTTATGCTCTTAAGAGGGTGAACTGGAATGTAAATCCAGGGTTGTCCCTTAGACCGTGTGCTCCTAATTGTGTGCTATGCTACGATTGCTTTTGAAGCCCTCAATGGGGTTACATCAATACTCCCTAAAAGCCTATAATCTTGTCATTATCCACATTATCCTTTTCCATGTAACCTTGTCGAAACGGGGAAAAAAAAAATGGCATCCCTTCTCTTGTCTCAAATAAATCCGTCCATTTGCATTTCCATGCCGTTTCCCTCCTAGGAGCCTCCTCGGATCTAGCTCTGCAGATTGTTCCTCTCCTTGTTAACTTCTCTATATTGCCTCTTTCCTTTAAACATTTCATTACTATATGTTCAAATCTCCCCTTCTCCAAACTAATAAAGGAAACTCCTTAGAACAACAACCAATTGTATCTATTGCCCATCCCCTCTATATAAAGTAAATATTCATGAGAGTGGTCTGTACCTCTGCCTCTTCTTTATGTTCAGTGTAATGTTTGGCTCACTGTTTCAACTCCCACTGTTCCTCTGGTTTCAACTCCTTGTTTCAACTCCCACTGTTCCACTGGGGCTTGTCTCAAAATGGTTAATCAAATGATCTTTCTCCTGAATTCAATGGACACTTTCTGCCATATGACTTTTGTATCATGTTAGAAACTGCTGAAAAGTCTCTCTGATGAGCTAGGCTTAGAAAAATTAAACAGTTTTGCCCAACTGTAATGTTCAAAACCATTACCCATGCCCTTCTTGAAATGCTCCCCTCTGGGAGCAATAAGTTGTAGAAAAATTGTATAAACTTCCCCATTATCACAAACCAGGAATTGACTTGACACACTATTTAAAATGTTTTGAATGCTACTATTACTTATTTTGTCAGGTCCTATGCATACAAAATGAATAAATTATTGCCCTCAAAGGCAGTCAGATAGATTAGCAAAAAGAAAAAGGTAGAGCAATGTACAGTGAGCTTCAATAATTACACGTGTTGTATTGTACGGACATTTGGGAGCCCCTAATGCTCTCTGAAGATGGGCCCAATAGCCTTCTCAGTGGAGTAGAGTAGCCAGAGTTTGCCAGGTAGCTAAAGAAAGAGCATTTCTGACAGAGGTGCAGCATGTCCAAATGGCAGTGGGTACAGATAAGTAACATGGGTTTGATGAATATGTAACTATTGTCATCAAGTTTTACTCATGATGTCTCACTGCTTTTCCTCCTAACATATTTTGTACGGAAAAAAATCAAAAGGGTTAGCAGGAATCAGGAACTGTAAGACTGAATGAAAGAATATTCCAGAGTCACATGTCTGAGACTTATTAGGAAGTTGGTAGTGGAACCCACAAGAGCCCAAATCCTATTGTAACTACTTGAAAACTCTTGTGACCCTGGCCAATTCATTATCATGCATGATCCTCAATTACTTTCTCTATATCTATAAAATGACAGTGGTAATATCCAACAATATAGAGTTGTTATAATCATTATAAATAATATAAATAAAGAATTGGATCCAGTACTTGTTAGGTAGTGGTTATTGATCATGGTAGTTATGATTATATTTTACTATGGATTACATTGTAAGATCATCCAAATGAAAAGAACCTTAGACATCTTTCAGCCCAGTCTCCCACTGAATTGCCACTAAATGACGATATTGTCAAGGGAGTTGCCACTAAATGAAGACACTGCCTTCCCTTGGCAATATCTTCATTTAGTGGCAATTCAGCTTGTTTTGATTAAATCAATGATCAAAAATTCAATCCAACCCATTCAATTTTTGACACCTCTAATTACTGAAACCTTCTCACCTACATTGATTTGAAATATGTTACTCTATTATCCTAGTTATATTCTCAAAGTCCTCACTCAATAAATTCATTTTTTTCTACGTGATAACAGGGCTGGGGAAGAGGCTGGGATGGTCAGAGTTCAGAAGTTTGGAGGAGCAGCCCGGTAAACTAGGAACCAGACCTCTGAGGAGGGGAACACCGCCAATCTGAGCGAGTATCACAAGAAGTTGGATGGAGGGTAGTGGCGGAGGGAGGTGGGGGGAGGTCCTTCAGAGCTGGGGATTGGAGAGTTTTTAGAAGGGGGCAGTATCTGGTAGGTGTTGGTATGATTAAGGAAGAATGATAAAACCAAATCTGGGAATGTGGAAAGATCTTGGAAACTGGAAAGAACTGCTGCTAGAAATATTTGCTGCTGCAAAGTCTAGTGTTCTTGCTAGGATGACACTGCGAGCCAAATAAATAAATAAATAAACAAACAAACAATATCCTACCCCTCCACCTGCCTTCCAGTCTCCTTCCAGTGTCACTTATTGGATACACCTTCCAAGATGCCAGCTGGTTAAATTTTCAGCTCTTTATTTCTAAAGAGAAATAAAATATGAACAGTTCCAACCCTGCCTTCACAAAGTAGATTATGAAAGAGTGGATTTACATTTGAAAGACAAGAGCTTAATAAGTGGCATCAACCATCAGGTCCTAAACCACAAGCATTCCTTCAATGATACCTCTGTGATATAGTTTGAATATTTGTCCTCTCCAAATCTAGTGTTGAAATGTGACCCTCATTTTGAGCCATGGCAGTGAATTCTTCAGGAATGGTTTGGTGCCCTCCTTGTGGTAATGAATGAGGTCTCATTCTATTAGTTACCACAAGATCTGATTGTTAAAAAGAGCCTGGCATATCCTCCTCCTCTTCTTCCTCTCTTGCCATGTGACACACCTACTCCTGCCCCCCATTTATTTATTTGTTTATTTATTTATTTATTTATTTATTTATTTATTTATCTATCTATTGAGACAGAGCTCGCTCTGTTGCGCAGGCTGGAATGCAGTGGCCCAATCTTGGCTCACTGCAACCGCTGCCTCCTGGGTTCAAGTGATTCTCCTGTCTCAGCCTTCTGAGTAGCTGGGACACAGGCGCCCACCACCATACCCAGCTAATTATTTATATTTTTAGTAGAGATGGGGTTTCACCATGTTGGCCAGGATGGTCTCAATCTCTTGACTTCGTGATCTGCCCACCTCGGCCTCCCAAAGTGCTGGGATTACAGAAGTGAGCCACCGCGCCTGGCCCCCCTTTTTTTTATGCCATGATTGTAAGCTGAGGCCCTTGCCAGAAGCAGATACTGGCACAATACTTCTTGAATATCCTGTAGATATTCAGAACTGTAACCTAAATAAGCCTTTTTTCTTTATATATTACTCAGCCTCAGGTATTCCTCTATATCTTTATAAAATGGACTGAGACATTCTTAGAATGGTTTCTATTTTCCCCACCATTGGTTGATAACCTTTATTATACTATAGTCAGCCAGTGTCCCGCACAGGACAGAAATCTCAAAATTTTGATCAGGCCAAGTGTGATCATTAACTTTATGAGTCAGCTTGGCTGGGCCACAGAGTGCCCAGATACTTGGTCAAACATTATTTGGAGTGTGACTGTGAGGATGTTTTAAAATGTGGTTGATATTTGAATTGGTAGGTTAAAGCAGATTGTCCTCCATATTATGGGGGAGTTTTATCCAATCAGCTGAAGTCCCAAATAGAAAGAAAGGACAGCCATCTTCCAATTAAGAGAGAATTCTCCTACTTGATGACTTCTGAACTGAGACACCAGCTCTTTCTGATTGTAAAGCAGCCTGCCTGCTTTCAGATTCAAACTGGAGCATAGGCTCTTTTGGACTTACCTCTGTCTCTGATTAGAGACATAAACAAATCTCTTAGGTAATAAATCCCTTTATATATAAAACAGGATACATATGTATCTTTTAGTAGAATATATCCTATTGGTTCTATTTCTGTAGACAACTCTGACTAATACACAAAGTAAAAACTGTAAGGGGAAAGAGTATTAATTCCCTGATTCCATACAGTATATTTG